TAAGAACTATTGTCAATTATTGCATTGTCTTGAACCAACCATATGTTCCCTTGAACAAAAACAAGAAAATTACAATATAAAAGAAGAATTAACCAAATATTATTTCTCTTTTATTTAATAATACATATATAAATTAAAAATTGCTGTCTAAATATACATTGTCTTTGTGTCTATATATGAAAGCCTGTATTATTTCATTTATTTTTCATTTGTTGTAAAAGTATGTCTTTATGAATTTAAAAGACTAGAAGAATGAGAAATAAAACAATCAACAAAAGAAGCAAAAGAATGAAACACTTTACAATGTTTTTTGTGCCTATTTTAGTAATACCAAATTAGTTTTTAGTGAATGGTAAAACATGCCAAACTGTAACTGTACGCCACACAAGACACACAGAGTAAACCAGTCAAAGTTATAAACAAAAGAGAAGCAAAGAAGATGTCATTCTTTTTCTGTGACAGACAAGAAGATTCTTATAAACCATCTACCTTTGAAAAAGAAAACAGCAAAATGTCTCCTTTACAAATATTTGTGTTGGTTTCAACCATAGAAATGACTGCTAAAACATCTCCCTAAATTTATAGACAAATCATACAAATGCATGCTGGGATTTCTTTTAAACCAATAAAAATGGATCACTTCTCAATCTCATCCACGATATTTTTGTTTTTTCTTGTCTTGAAGTCAGAACATTATAATCACTCGACTGTATCTCTTTTGCCTGTTAATGCCATTCTTTGTGAGCTTTTTGCCTTACTACTGTTTCTTTGCTTAGTTTTGACTTGCATATATAGTGTTTGCTTCATATTATTTTGCATGGTTCTTGTTCTTCTTTTCCTTATTGTTTGTTGAGCATTTTTGCCAATTACTTCATAATTTCTTTTCATTTTAAGTGGGGTCTAAAAAGTTTCTAACAAGAGAACATAGTAAAATATTTAATAAACTACAGTATCAAAATATGGTATGTTTTGATTATTAATTTTCAAGAAGTTATTTGGTCACTTAATTTTTTTATTTATTAGAATTCTTAATATTCTTAACATTCTACAAACTGTTATATAATATTGACCAGAAAGAAAAATTTAGCTTTTGAGGAGATTTGAACTGATATCTCTTATTTTTGGAAGCCTGTCTGACTGGTACACTTGTCTTACCATTTAGGTTATAAAAATTAACCAGCATTTCACAATCTAGTTATTAACCTACCATCATCCTTATCTAACCTCTGCTGCTTACTCGACAGAGAATGTAAAAATGACTTGAAAAGAAATAAATAAAAATAAAATGAACAAAAGACTAATAAAACCTTTATATCAATGATATTGTTTAATCTATTAAAAACAGGTCCATTGGTACATTGATATATCACAATATTTTTCACTTTGGGGAGACATCGATATACGGCATTGCATTGATTATGGTAACAAGTTTTTTATTCAGTTTATTTAAAATGTTAAAAATGTAGTTCTGAAATTTATTTTTCTTTGTCAGAATTTACAAAAACCAAAATATCAAACTAAGAACTTTGAGCCATGTTCTTAAATTGCCTCATCAAATTGTTTTTCATATGGATGTCAGGTATGGCATTGCACTCATTCAGAAATATCTAAACTGTCAGTTGTATTCAACTACTTTTTCAGAAAGTTTCAAGTCTGTACATGCAATATCCTTGGAATTATAAATGTCAGAAATTTGTTGAAAGCTTTATTTAACAAAATGCAAAAAATGCAGTAAAATTTCTAGATACTGATTTTAAAAATGATTAAAGATACAGATTATAATATTTGAGATTTATCAAAAAATTTGATCAAGTAGCACCTGTGAATTTTCCCCACATTTTTCTGATTGAGTCATTTGTGGCTGTTGGTGGAATTGAGATAGAATGACCTAGAATGACTGCTGATGCATACATAGTGGTTATGAAGGAGCATCTTGAACCATGGACGAAAAGGCAAAGAGTTGCCTTCAGAAGGGCCATTGTTTTTATGCAAGATAATTCTCCCTCACATGCTGCTCACAAGACTACTGAATATTTGAAACAGTTAGGCTTCGATGGACCTCGAAAAATGAAGTGGCCAGCAAATTCTCCGGATTTGAACCCAGTCGAAAACCTTTGGAGTATCATAAGTGAAGACTGTATGCCAACACACAACAATTCAGGAGCAACGCTGAGTTGTGGGAAGCAATTCTTGACATATCTCGCGGCATTACAGCAGATGACATCCTACATTTAACAAATTCTATGGATCATCGACTTCTTCAAGTAATTTCAAAACAGGGAAAGCTCATTCCCTATTAATTTGTTTTAAAAATGTGCCTTTGTTTGTATTTGTTATTATTTGTTTGATTATCTTATTTATTAGCTTCTTTTGATCATGAACATTCACGTGCAACATTAATAAACGTTTTGTTTGCTCAATTCTAGGAATTTTGCTAAACTTTTCTAATAATTTGGCATGCTCAAATCACAGTGCTGATAACAAATATGGCGCCAGTTTGTTTACATTGTGCAGATCAGTAGGAAAATTTCAGTGATTGCACAAGTCAGTATTGCCAACATTGTGTGAAAATTTTGTGTGAATTGGTTGGACAGTTTTTGAAATATTAGAAAAAAAGTTATCTCAATAATAATTTGGCATGCAGTGTATATCTCTTAATATTAAATTATTAGCAAATTTTCTGCTAATTCACACTTCTTATATTTTTGTCTAATACTAAATCTACACTTTGCATATATTTTCAGTGATTATTTCCAATGTATCATTTTCAAATCTAATGAAATAAAACTATAAAAAAGTTTATATCAAGTACCATTTTCTTAATTATTAACTGAACTGGGAGTCATAATAAACAGGTAATATTCTTTTGTATAAAAAAGTATGCATATTCAGTATTCATATCATAAAGATGAAAACTCATTTTTGTTTAAATTGGAGCATGAAATCAGCAGACACTAATGTAATTCTAATTGGCTCAAGACAGAAAAAGACAGGATTTTTCCCCCTGTTTTGAGATTAACTGCAATGTTGATATAAATTCTAGTCATTTACACACTGTCAAAATGCTGATAATATCAACTAATCATTTTTTTTTTATCACCAATACAACAGAAAGATACTGTTAAAACCCATGTAATTTGTGCACCTGTATAATTTACGCAGGTGATCTTCAGGATAAAATTTGTTAAAAATAGCTTCTACACATGTAAAATTCACACATAAAAATTTTCAGAATTGCCAATATTACCAGGGGGAAGAGGTTTTCAATTTAGTCGTATTTAGCATAATTTCACTTACTTCTGATTAGATTTTAATATATTTTCATTAGATAAAAGTAATTTCTGTTTAACAGGTAAGTATCACATTAAAAGATAATAAATTATAAAATGTTTGATCATCTTGCCTCAAATCAAAAGAAACCAATCTAATAATAATAATGATGGTTGTTCATTTCAAAACATACCTTCTCAGGTACATTTGTGGATCTGCAACACTCATAGAGCTGACCTGTGGTTTATACTGAAACTATGCTGAATAAGGACAATGTGTTCAGAGTCTTGGCCATGCTGATTGTTAACTCATTGCTAGCACAAACATCAATAGCTTCCAAACAGTTTCATTTACCCAATGGACTTAAAAAAAAAAAAACAACTTAAATCTTTAAACTGTGAGTCTTCTGACCTTGAAACTAAGGTTTGAATTTCACCTTGCTTGATACTGATTTGAGGAGACAATCCAAATGTGCAATACAGTTGGGAAATACCTGAAAGCTATACTGTGATATGACCCAATCCTTGTCAATGATACACTTCATAAAAAACAGTTACAGCCATACTAAGTTGATTCAAACAGCATAAGATATTGTTGGTTCAATATTTTAAACATACCTGTCCTCTTATATGGCAGTGAATGTGGAACAATCTCATCACAGATGAAGAAAAGACTTAAAGCAACAGAAATGTGGTTCTACAGAAGGATGCTGAGAATACCCAGAACTGAACATGTGAGCAATGACAAAGTTTTAGAGAAAATGCAAACAAAAAGGATGCTTATATGTCACAACAGAAAGAGACAAAGAAATTTCTAAGGCACATAATAAGGAAAGAAGGCTTGAAAAATTTAACACACACAAGGCATATTGAAGACAAGAGAGGGTGGAGGAAAACAGTGCATAACTTGCCTAATGAGTTTATGTAAATGGATAACAGAAAAAGGGTATAGGAGAGATAGCAAATACACAAAATTTACTAAGGGTAGGAAACTGTGGAGAGCCATAATAGTCAACATCCTGAGGAGACACAACACATAGAAGAAGATTCTGCTATCTGAGAAGGAAAGACTAACCATTAACTTAACAAAAACTAAGCAAAGTACTAAGAAACAGGAAAAATTCATTAGAAACAAAGAAAAGAGGGTTGGTCTGTTATGAAATATCAGTCCTGCTTTATAGCAGTTGATTCTGGAGATGAAGAAAAAACTGCAGGCAACAGAAATGCAGTTTTACAAAAAAATACTAAGAATGAGTGCTTGGAGAGTTTGACACTCACAAAGTCTGTTGAAGGCAAAAAGGGTGGGAGGAAGTAGCAGGCTGCACCTACCTGATCAGCTTGTAGGGAGGGATGGCAAAAAGACCAACATTATGAGAGCTACATATGATAGGAAATTGATGAGAGCCATGGTACATGGCATATAGAAAACTCAGCTATTAATATGGTGATTTTCAATTGGCACTTAGACAAGAGAAAAATGATAATATGATCAACATTCAATGTTATTTATTATAATATCTATTCGAGTAAGTCATATAAAACAGAGATATGCATCAAGTGACTTAATGTCTCAGCCATAACATTAACTCAACAAAGATGGGTGGCAGTTTTAGAAGTGAAGGGTGCTGAATTAATGAGTGTTGACTCAGCTGTTGGAACAAAACTCTTTCTTTAAACTGGCCTGGAAATGTCAAATTGCAAACTGGATTTGGTTGAAGAAAAGATACTCACCTGCGTACAATTGGAATCATGGTATACTTGGAACCTTTACAAGGCTGGGAATCTTTTCTGGCAGATTTTGTATTTGGTAAAGGCACAAAATCTTTCTGAAAAGAGAGGAGGAAAAAACTGATTTGAATGATCCAACTTTTTAAAACTATTTTCGCTTTATTTTAGTTTTACCTGATGCAACTTAGCTAACAGTGAAATAAATTAACTGGAAATACCATACCTTCACAAGTTCAAAAGATCAGTATGTCAAACCCTGTTAAATGCTTTCAAGATGTGTCCAAAGCCATAACCTGAGCTTCACCATTTTTATGTGTGTGTGTGTGTGTGTGTGTGTGTAAAATAAATATATTTACACACATAAAAAAAATATGGTTGACCAGAGTATTTTTAGAAGGTAACATTTTTAAGTTAAGCAGTCTTTGTAATTATTGTGCACAATATCAAGAAACAGAACAGTAACAGTAATAGATAAAAATTAAATGTTCATTTATCTTATTCCTACACTGAGTTTCATGGAATTTACAGCCTTGTCAGGGGAGTTAACTGTAAAATTGAATTTTACAATAAAATGAAAAAATAAACTTGAATGGTGACTGTCAGTTTAATGTATTATGAAACATTGTGTAGGCTTTCTATATATAAGCCACTTGGAGGGGGCGGGGCTTATAGAAAGTTGACGAGGAGGGAAACCATTTTTTTCAGTTTTTTGCTTAGGACTTAAGTTTTAGATTATTTATAATCCAAACCTTGATTCTGTTTATTTTATTTTATTACATTTTATTGTTATTTTTATTTATTATTTCATGTTACTTATTTATTCTTGTATACTTTTTGGAATCTATATTTTGTTATTTGAAATAATATTTATTAGTTTTAGATGACAAATTATTAGTTGTTTACTCTTTGGAAGTATGATGAGGTTGTAGGTAGTGAAGTAAGAATTTGTTTACATTAATTTGTTTATATGGAAATGAGCTTTGATTTTTTTTTGTGGAGACATTTATATTGTTAAAAGGTGATTATTATTATTTTCTCCTTTAAGAAAAGGTTATATATTTTATAGGTGTTAGTGTAAGCTCGTGCGGTTTTTCTTATTTTCAATGGTATTTTGGAGTGCTTTATTTTGTGTTTTTGAATTGCCACATATGTTTTCAGCATGCTGAGATATTTATTTCCTTCTGCTGCTTATTTCTACAAATGCTCTTGATCCGATATACAGCACTCTTCCTCTATAAATACAGAAAACCTTATATACATATATGTAAGGGCTAGCTGAACATTTCTGAGTACACCTATCTGTTGGAGTGGCTACTAATCCCTTTTGCAAGACACACAGAACCAACCTAAGGTTTATACTGCAAATATGCTGAGCAGACCTTAGTTACAGTTTATGAGAGAGAGTTGATAATCAGGCATGATGGACAAGACCAGTACACTCAAATCCTAAGTGATTTGTAACTTTGAGCTAGTGCAACCATTCTAAGAAATTTTGTCTACCCAATTTCACTCACAAGATTAATCTGTGATATATTTTTCAGGTACTTTCCAATGGTGCTAAAATCTGGAATCACTCCCCCAAGCCAGTAACATCAAGAAGACACCACCCTAATAAATGGACAATGGTGACTTTCAAACCTGGGTCTCATGGTCAGAAATATGTGTGTGTGTGTGTGTGTGGTAGAGTTTGAAGCTTCCTTTTGAATGGTAATTGACCCATAACACCTTATCTTTTTCAGTTGGCAGTGTTTTATATGTGAATCAAAGATCTGTTACCCATAGGAAGCACTCTTATCCTCGTTATTACTACCCCACTGATAGAGCAAGTGTCTCCATCTTAAGTCAGATAAAAGAAGTGACTCTGTCCAAAGTTGAAGTAAAAGAATGTCTCTTATTAACAATTTAGTTTTATTAGGAAATGTTTATAAATGTTGTTGTACCAATATTTATTAATGGTTAGTCTTTTATTTAACTTTGTACTTCTTTCTTATATAATTGTTACTAAAGACTAATGGAAGTCTTTTGTGAAGAATTTTTTATTAACTTTTTTTTCCTCATGAGTTGATATTGTATATTATTGGGCCAAATTCTGAATGCTTTCAACTTTTAGAAGCCATTATCAAAAATAATGTGGATTAAACAATACATCTTGAGGTATTTGTTTCATTCCTTTCACACCCACCCACACCCACACACATACACACACATATATATATATATATATATAATAAAGATAACAAATCCATTGGTATATAATCAAAGTGGATCCTAGTGATATGAAATATTAAACCTGATCCACAAAAAGAACTCAATGTATTTATTGTTACAGAGCAAATAATTAATAAACAAAAAATCCAAAATCACCTCATATGGGGAATAATCTATTTTGGCAGATGAAAATATCGCCCTATGTCAAACTCAAACTACACCAGGGTTTATAAGACAGACAGCTGATATTTTCATCTGCCAAAATTCCCCTATATGAGGTGATTTTGGATTTTTTGTTTATTAATTATTTATATATATATATATATATATATATATATATATGATTAATACAAATAAAATTTATGACTATAGATCAAGTATGATTAAAATCCAACAAAATGCAAAATGTTAAGATAAAGAACAAATAGGAAATGTTTATCAATCGATAGAGGAAGTTTTTCTTTGGAGTTGGTGAGGTGGTTTTATAATATGCTGAGGTATTTTGTGACAGGTATGTTCGTGCATAATGATTTGATATCTAAGCCAGCCATAACTTACTGGCAATAAAAACATAATTATACCACCTCCTGACAAAGGTGACAAAATAGTCATCATGGACACTAACAACTACATTGAAAAATTAGAATTCCTCTTAACACTTATGAGAAAACCAATCAAGAGATAATAAATACAAACAAGAAGGAAGCTGTTAAAGAATCTAAACAAATCTTGGACAAAATTCATAGAATACCATCCTACAACACCCACACTATACAGCTTACTCAAAGCACATAAACTCAACACACCCATCAGACACATTGTATCTAGTATCAACAGTGTCCACTCCCAAAACTAGCTAAAGCAATCAAAGTTTTAACACCCTTCACACAACACACATTAAACATTCTAGTGACTTAAAGCAAAGAATAAGAAACATAAGCATGGAAAACAAGGTTATGGTTAGACGAGATATCAAATTATTATACAGGAAACAAATAGTTTTTATAAAAGTTGGTGATATAATAAATGAAAACAAATCCTGGACAAAACTAACAGAATACCATCTCACAACTCCCACACTATATGGCTTACCCAAAACACAAATCCAACATAGACATCAGAGTCATTGTATCTAGCACCAATAGCGACCATTCTCACACAAACTAGTTAAAGCAATCACAAAAATCCTAACTCTGTTAGTCCTGGGTATGACAATAAATTACATCCAGCAGCAAAGCCTCTGAACAAGAGATTGGAGGTTTTGAGGAGTGTGGAATCATCCAATTTCTGAAGAGACTTGGTATACAGAAGAAGATGCAACATCATTATCTTTATTAAACAAGAACTGCTAAGTTGGGTAAGATATAAGACACAGATATGCTAGATATGATAAAACTGCATTTGATGCCGCAGTTTTATGTAATAATTGCATAAGCAGAAAAACAACTTCATAACTTAATTTTCATCATTGTCAACAGATTCATACATATATTATTTCGTTTCTAGCGTTATTTTTATTTTGTAATTTTATTTTGTAGATAATCATGCTCTCTACAAAGTTCGCACGAAATAATAATTAATGCATGAACTTTGTAAAGAATATGATAATTTACAAAATAAAAAAATGCTAGGAAGGAACATTTTGTTTTATTTTGTAAATAATCATGCTCTTTTCAAACTTCATGCAAAGTTTGCACATTAATTATTATTCGTTTTATTTTTGTTTGTTTTAATTTTAATTTAAAAAAATGCTTTATTATATCATTTAATTTGTTCTTTTAATTTTTCATTGCTATTCTACATGGAAAAAAAGGTTCTATTGTATTATTTAATTTGTTTTTGTTTAAAGTTTTATGCTATAAATAAAACGACACTTATCAAAAAATTTAAGTTTCAAATATATGAAAATATTGACAAATTAAAAAAGAACAAAATGAACAAATTAAATAATACAGTAAAGCATTTTTTATGTTTTTAAATTTAAAATAAAACAATAAATAATTAAATAAAACTACACTTATCAAAAAAAAAATACATTGCTTTACAGTAGTGCGTAGTGACTTCTGCAACAAAATTCTGTAAAAGAAGTAAATAGGCCAAAATTTATGCTTACGCCAATGAAAATACCCAGAAGTACCCCATGGTTAATTAGTAAAAACAATGCCCATAATGGTGGATGAATTACCCAGAATTAGTCCAATTTTTTCTTGTTGATAACTCCAAAATGGTAGGTTTTTCATAATTTAAATGTTAATTCAAGTTCAGCATGTACATTTACACAAAAATATGATAATTTTGGCAAGTTTTTATATATATATATACAGTAGCAGCCATAATATAAGGAATGGAAACAACAAAGACATAAATATGTGTATTACTTAAAAAGTAATGCATGATTAGCAATGAAATTTTTACCGAATAAAGATTAGGGTGTAATGCATAAATATTATACAAAGTTTCAAAAATTTACATGATAGTTTTTTTTTTTTTTAAATAAAGATTAAATGGAACAAAGGAAATAAGCTACTGGAACGATGTTAATAATTTGCATAAACTTTTAATTTACATTGTTAAAAAACTCGATGGAGCTATTCAACAATAAGTAAAAGTTCATTTATCATTAGGACTTTATTTTTAAGCAATATGGCAAATTCTACACGCTAAACGCACTCTTTTGAAGAAAAAAAACTCATTATCGCTATCAAGAAAAATAGTCAATTTCAGAAATTTCTGATATTGTTCATAGATCTAAAAGTGTCTTTCATCATGTAATTAGCAGTTATAAAACCGATAAAATGTTAGATGCAAAACTAAAAATCGGCAGACCTCCAAAAACACCGCAAAGAGAAGATCGAAGAATTGTTAGAATATCTACAAAAAAACATTTTAAAACTGCTACATCAATTGCCCGTAAATTTAATGAAGAGACAGATAAGATCTCAAGAAAAACGGTTGCTTGCAGGTTAAAAAATGCAGGATTGCATGCCTCTATTCCAGCTTCGAAGCCTCTCATTTCAAAGCAAAACCAAAGTGCACGCCTGGAGTATACGAGGGAAAAAGTTGTTTGGACTGACGCACAACGGGATACAGTTCATTTCAGTGACAAGTCCAAGTTTACTATATTTGGTTTTGAGGGCAAAACTTACGTACGCCATAGAACAGGTGAAAGAATGTCTTCTCAATGTGTCAAGAAAACCGTTAAGTTTGGTGGGGGCAGTGTGATGGTGTGGGGAATGATTTCATCTGCAGGAGTTGGCCCTATCATCCATGTAGATGGCAATATCAATGCTGAGATTTACAAAAGGCTTCTTCAGCTTCTTTAATCTTTATGAATCTCCTATTTTCATGCAGGACAATGCACCTTGCCACAAGGCTCAGAAGGTTATGGCTTTATTTGAAGAAGAAGGAATCGCCCTAATGAAGTGGCCAGCCCAGAGCCCCGACCTGAATCCAATAGAAAATGTTTGGAAGATAATTGGAGAAAGGGTTCAGAAAAGAAACCCGAAAAACCAGGATCACCTATGGGAGTTATTGAAAGACGAATGGGAGGGAATTACTGCTGATTTTTGCAAGAAATTAATTAGATCATGTGGTTGATGATGCAGAGATGTCATTGAAAATAAGGGGATGTTTACCAAATATTAAATTTTGTTGATATTTTGTTCACAATCAAGTATTAACAAGATTGTTCCTTAACTTTTGTCCAGTAGCTTATTTCCTTTGTTCCATTTAATCTTTATTTAAAAAAAAAAAACTATTACGTAAATTTTTGTAACTTTGTATAATATTTATGCATTAGACCCTAATCTTTATTTGGTAAAAATTTCATTGCTAATCATGCATTACGTTTTAAGTAATACACATATTTATGTCTTTGTTGTTTCCGTTCCTTATATTATGGCCACTACTGTATATAAAAAAAAAAAGCAAATTTACCAGTTTTGACTAAAGTGCTTAACCAAAAGAGTTGTGCAAGGATTATAATAATGGATTATGTAATGGGCTCTCAACAAAAACAGTATTTGTTCAGATAACTGGAAAACTTCATAATCATCCAACATTGATGATTGGCTGAAAATAAAAACTTCCAATAGAAAATTGATTTAGTTCTATTGACTAACTTTCAATTGAACTTGATTCTATTAACTAACAATTTATTTAATTCTACTAACAATTTACTTCATTCTGTTGACTAACAATTTTCAAAAAACAAGAACCAGTTTAATCCATTCCTATTTACATTTTCTGATGTATGTAATTTAAACATTAATAATTAATAACATTCATTTTCTGTTGACCATGAATTTTTTTAGAGGTTTAGATACCGGGTACTGCAGAAATTCTCCCACCTAATGGTAAGACATTAGCTAGATGAAGACACCATTGCCACTGATGTCTTACAATTATATGGTGGGAGGTATTTCTGCCACACCCGATTGCATCAATTGAAACTGTCATTGAATTTCTTACTGATTCCTCCACTTTTTCTTCAAGGATACTGCAGAATTCTTTCTTGAGGGATGCAATATGCTGCCTCATTGATGCAATATCCCCTTCTAAAATGCAATTCTTGTGATTGGCCTCATGTTGCGCTTCCACAAAGGCCTTCACCAAGTTCTGTTAAAAGAAAAGCAAAAAACAAAATAAGAAAATGTGAAGATATAATTTGGGAAATATGGATAATCATATTTGAGATAAGAAGTTAAATAAAATATATTCTTTTAATCATTTCATTCCAAGCAAGGCAATAAGTCACTAAGACACAAGTGTTACTGAGTGTGAAAGAATCTGAGAGAAAAAAAAAACATTAAGGCGTGAGGACAATAAAAGAACAGGATTCAAGGAGACAGAAGATGATGATTGTCATTGCATTTAAATCTTTGATGATCAAAGTTGACTGGGAAGCAAGAAGCCAGAGGAGAGTTCCACAAGCAAGAAGTGTGATAGAAAAAACTTTTAGTATAGAACTTACAGTTATATCTAGCCATTTCAACTGTAAGATGATGAGACTTTGCTGCCAATCTAGTAGTATGCTTAAATTCATAAAGTCTATGTACATCAGACCAATTACCTTGAATATATTTCTAGAAAATGCACAGCAAAGCCACATTATGGTGGTGGGAAAGTAACTAAAGATGAAATATGATTGCAAATTCTTCTTTGAATTTTATCAAAATTATCTCTAAACATATCGCAGAAGCACCAGATGTGGCAACATTATATGCATATATGAATATACATTCAAAGAAATTAGGATGTTGAAAGCTTTACTTGTTTTTTACACTCTTTTTAGTCTTTCATGTATTGATTAACAATGATTCAAAGACCACAAAACTGAGTCAAGTAAATTGCTGTTAGAGTTCAAATGAACACTGTATCAATTCCTCTATAATCATTATAATTAGAATGATTTATTTAACACATATTTTCAATACTATTTTGTCTTTCCTTGAAATGTTAAATTGATTTTACTTTTTAACACCGTATAACAGTGGTTGCCCATCTTTTCATGCCCCACAACCCTAGGATATGTTTGACTAATGTTTGCACTTTTGACAAAACTAACATCATATTTTAAGATCAAGAAGTCTAAACTAGAATTTTTGAACAACATTCATTACTGCAGGTGAATAAATTGGACAACAAATAGACTTTTTACGCAGCAAAAATGCAACTATAGATGGGAGTATTAGATTTTAATGTTAATGCATAAAATTCAATAACTATGCTGCTTTTGTTTCTCATTAATGCTTTTGTCAAAACATGGAACCTTCTTGTTGCTTGTGATTTGCAGATCTACCTGTGGATTCAGGCAATTCACCTGTAACAGGTCACTGGCCCTGTTCAAATGTTTAATTGCATGAAATTTCAGGATGGTGATTTAGAGGGACTACTAATTGCATAATAATTATTAAAATTCTCAGGTTGAATGATTGTGAAAAAAAAAACTGGTCTTAAAATAATAAAACGAATTTAAGAACAATTCCAAGGAGAATCAAACCCAGAATTAACTAGCCAATATTCGGTAAACTCCAGGTTCCCCACCCTATTCACTTCCCACCAATAAGAAGACATGATTGATGTTGTCTGAATTTCTTTGTTCCTGAGAAATTAAACTTGGAGGTTTGTCTACATTATACTAGCTGTCCAAAAATGTGTGTGTCCTTACAGAAGGGATGGACCCAAATTCTTCTAGACGAAGTAAAGGTATCTGTTTTTTGCTTAATTCCCAAACTTGAGATTTGTTTATGTTGATGTGGTCTGCCCAAGAAACATCATTATCTTTACAGAAAGAAAGAACAGAAAATTATAAAGACAAAAGCAAAGGCTATGTGGTTATAAACAGAGATCCTAGAATTAAGGCTGTCAGGGTGGAAAAATTGGATATATCAATGTTAAATTTGGGTGGGGGGAGAGTCATCTATATAAAAAAAAAAGCTCACCAGGCTGACAGATACACAGTTGCCAGAGATTCGCTCTGGTCACAGCTCCCACGGTATTGGAACAAAAATACAGATACACAAAACAAAAGAATTGAGTGAGAGTCAACTGGCTGGTTATTACTTTAGCATTTGTTACTAGATATCTCAAATCACCATCTGGCAGTAGAGAACTTGATCTTGCAGTAGATAATAGAGACATTTTATTCTGCCATTTTTTCCTTTATACTCAATAAACCTGTTGTCAGAGTTATCAACAGTGATATGCATTTTATTGAAGGAATTCTTATTCCAGTCTGATTCCTGATGTTACTCTTGGACACAAAGAGACAAAAGTTACCATGGCCATAAATTGAGAAATATTCATTCTTAACTATGGTATACAATACATTTAGAGGAGTTCATACTAAACTTCACCGTCAATACCAATATCATAAGATTTTGGGAAACCTGAATTAACCCTATCGAGATGACACACTAGTCCCAACCAAAGAGGGAAAAGATGGCCAGGTGACCCATAAGGCTGGTATTACTCAACAAAGCTTAATTTCCACTGAATTTAAGTACACTGCTCAGCTCATGGATTGATCTTAGAATTACTGTTTTCCAGTGAGTCCAAGTACACGCTGCCTGTGAGACAATAGCCAAGTAGATTAAAGTCTTTGTTTGTGAATTTGGTGACTTGACAATTGTGAATTCAATCCCTAGACTGGGCAGAGTGTACTTGGATTCAGCAGAAATGCGGTAAGCAATAACTGAGCAGTACTAAATAAGAACTAGATGAGATAACCTTAGACATGGGCAGTAAAACAAGAATGATCTACTCTGGGAAATTAAAGAAAAGGTTCAGTTCAGAATTCTCTGTAGGTTACATGGGTCAACATACACCTGATGAAAGCCAAAAGTCACAGTGGCCAAAATATTGTGATAGCAACAACAAAGATTAGGACAATAGTCTGCATATAAATTTGTATTTCATATTACCATTCTATGCCTCAAATTTATTTAATTTTTATTGCAACTTTTGACCAACTGTACAAGTTAGAGAAGAGCATGAAGAGAAAAAGAATTATATTACTCGGTCCTGACTAAATAACATAAAATTACTGAAGATAAAATTCACATTGTTTTTCATATGTTTGCAGAGCATGACGTCATTTTGCAAACATAATTTGTAAAATGCATGCAGCTGTTTCCTTAAAATGTTCTTGAATTTCTTTTACCCACTGCATGATATCTCAGGGAGAAATACATGTTTTATTCTTTTTTGTTTATCAACTGTTTGTAAATAATGTCATTTCTTGTGTCTATTGTGTTTTATTTGTTCTTTACTTATGGTATCTAGTCTTCACTGAGTACAGATTTGAAGATAGCTAAATTCACAAATCTGCAGATTCCCATATATACTGAGGTTGCTGGTCTACAGATTAGCATATACTTGAAGTCACTCATAGATTTGCATATATTTGAAATCCTAGATCTACAGATTTGCATATATCTGAAGTGACAAATCTACAGATTTGCATATATACATAAGTTCACAAGTCTACTGATTTGCATATATATTAGTTCACAAAAATAACCTAGGGTATAAAATGTATATGTGCTTGTGTTTGAGGAAATCACCAAACTCTTTAAAATAATCTGGAAAACGAAATCATTCTAAATATTCACTAAGTTTTTATTATTGAATTTACATGCATGAAGAGGATGAGATGCAGGAAAGTCCTCAGCATCACCTATTTCCTAAAATCTCACCAAATGTCCAAACCTTAGAATTTTCTTGGTTAAGATGAAAATTTTTCAGCACCGCCTTATGAATATGCACATGCACTCTATACACTCTCTCACACACTCATACACACACACATACTCCTGCATATATATACCCAAATACATAAATATGAAAACATAAATTAAGGGATATTACTTTCATAAATATTGCAAATTAATGTATGGCTGCAAATAAAAACAAAAATTTCCATCAATCTCTCATACTCTCTCTCTCTCTATATATATATATATATATATATATATATATATATATAGAGAGAGAGAGAGAGAGAGAGAGAGATGTGTGTGTATCATGGTTTGAAGATTGCATTCAAGCATGAAACAGACTCGCCACTCGGTGTTGATAACAGTGTCCACTTTCATAATACTATACACAGGGTTGGATGTATAAAAGAAAATAACACTGAGATCTCATTTTAAGAGATATATTTACCAAGATTACACAAAATTATACTCGAAATACTATAAAATCACCATTGGCTTCAATGTCACCATAAAAATAGATTTAAGTTACCTTATAAATAGAATTTTATCATATCTTATTTTATTTTTGTTTTTATTTGCAGCCATACATTAATTTGCAATATTTATGAAAGTAATATGCCTTAATTTATGTTTTCATATTTATGTATTTGGGTGTATATATGCAGGAGTATGTGTGTGTGTGTGAGTGCGTGAGAGAGTGTATAGGTGTATATGTATATATATGTGCGTGTTTGTGAGTGTATATGTGTATATGGATGTTTACATATATATAAATGTATGTGTGTGAGTGTGTGTGTGTGTATATATATATATATATATATATATATATATATATATATATAAAAATGTAGCTGCATGTGTGGATATGTGTATATATGTTAGTATGTTGTATATGTGTGTATGTATGTATGCCTATGTGTTTATATGTATATGTGTGTTTGTGTATATACAGTCAATGATGAAATTATTTGTACACAGATAAATTTTGAATATTTTTATCCATTTCTCAGAATCTAATGCCCGTATGATGTCAAGTTTTTCATATGTTAATAATGTTACACACGAAAACATGAGTGCATTTGTGTAGCATTAATCTACATTGTTCTACTATTGGATTGGATTGATCCTGCCTTTAAATTAATGTTATGAATGTTGGAATTTATATTTGATTCATTCTCATTTCATATATATATATATGTGTGTGTGTGTGTGTGTACATGTACGTGGGGTGTATGTATGTATATGCCTTGCATATACGTATTTACTCATGTGATTGTATGAATGCATGTATTGTGTATGTGTGTATGTAAGTATATGCGTGTGTATGTGTGTGTATGTGTTGGATTCTATAATCATGATGATGAATTAGATATTGAATTTAAGATTTTTTTATATATT